AACCCCTGCTTTGGAATGATCTGGAAAATATGAGTGCAAAATAATACAGATAAAAGAAATGAATTTAGATATTTTAAATAGATGAAATTTAAATATATCAGTAGCTATTTGTTAGTTATTTATCAATCATTCAACGTTTAATCTCATATGTCTTCTTCAGGAATGACTTCATTGTGAACACCTCCTAAACCTTAAGAATATGAAGCCATCATTGCAGCTTGCTATGCATTCATTTCTCCTTCATCTTCTTCAATCTCCTCTACCTCCTCGAATCCAAGGACATTTTCAGCAAAATCGTCAGATGTAATCTCTGGAGCTAAAGCTGTCTTAAAGTTACCATCACCGACTAACAAGTGAAGGCAATCCTATAATTCTTGTACAGTCATTGGCTCACCCTCTTGTTAGAGTAGACTCAATAAGTAATCTATGATAATAATTAAGAATGAATTATTAATTACCTTTAGATAAGAAACCTCTTTCCTTATTATTGCCTGGGTCATCATTAATAAGCTCTTAGAATGCATCCTGAATATTATTCTTACCAATACCATACACTGGCCTGTGATTGACGAAAAGCCTAATAAAGGTATCTAGATCAACAGCATTGACATGCTATCCAGTTTCTGCGAAATTACTGAACTTTACTTCATCCTTCATGTTATCAACCTCTTATTGAGTTGGGTAGTAACCCATTGCTCTCATTAGATTTGGAAGTTCATCTAATGGAACAGTTCCATTCAACTTTCTTGTTTTAGTTGTATTCTCATCCTTTGCTCTAATCATAGCATAGTAGAAGAAATCCTTCATATCTTGGAATGTTTATCCATCTCTTCCTCCCTCAATAAGATTGATAAAGGGCTCAATGCCTTCACCTCCCATAGCAATAGCTTAATCAATTGGATTAACATCGACGCTCCACATATTTACAGCCAAGTCATCACCTCCACATGTGAAGATATATCTGCCATCTCTAGTTGCACAAATATCAACAACTTCACTAGGATGAGCAATGAGACCCATAGTTTTATTTGGATTTCCATCGAGTGCCATTTTAATGAGACCTATAACCTTCTTCTTTGTGCTATAAATCAAGAATTTATCTGGGTTATTGTCGATATCTAGTCTCTTAAGCTTCACAATTTCACCACCATAGGTGGGTCCAAGACATGTTCTTCTACTGTTTTTAGTGCTGACGTTCCAGATCTTCATCTTGTAGTCATCATTAACTGTAAGGAGTAGATCTTCCTTTGTATCTACTTTAGGATACCATATGCAAGCAGTTGGATGTGACTCTTTCTCAATTTTGAAGCATGAAATAACAACAAGATCTTTAAGACTTGAATTGTAGACATCATATTCAAAGAGTCTTCTATCTTTACCTATTGAGAATAATCTTAACTTTAGTTACTCATTCTCATCCAAACTCTCACCAAAGCCAATCGAAGTAATTTCAACCTCATGAGTTTTCTTTTTACCATTGAATTACCATTCAATTGGCTTTGATGGATCTCCCTGCAGATGATCCTTCTTGAAAAGACAAACACAACAGTTTTTATCCATAGTAGCAAAGTAAAGTCCATCATTGCTCATTATCATCTGAGTGATTGGTGAAACTACACTTTCAGTAGTCTTCAAGGGTTGTGATAACTTCTTATACATACCAGTATTTGGGTCCATTACTTAAATAATACCATTAGTTTGACCAATTAAAAGTTCATCTCCCTCTGGAGTGAAAACCATTGTTGTAAAGTAATGCTGCTTTGAGTCCTTTTCTTTAGTTTCTTCTTTTCTAAATAGTTCGTAATTATTCAAAATAGGATCTCCCTTCTTTTGATAATCCCAAAGCAGAACAAACTTTTCATAACCAGCAATTGCTAGTATTGGTCTTTTGGGGTGAACAGCAATTGCTGCAACTGCTGATTTCAGACCATAGAAGATCATTTCTCCCTTCTTTCTTTGAGGGTCGATTTCCTCGAAGATACTTGACCATAATTTGCAAACAAGGGCTGAGTCATCAGTCACAAGGAAGTCTGAGCATTTAAATGTCTTTTCAATGTTATCCTAGAAGTCAGTTGATGGTTTTGGGTCTGTCTTTGAAAATGAAATTCCCTTTATTGTTGAGAAATTTAACTCTTCAAACCAGGCAACAACTTTGAAATGGAAATCATAGAATCTAATTGTGCCATCAGCATTGCCACAAACTAGATATTCATCATGAACTGTCATAAGAATGTTGATTGTAGCATTATTTTAGTTGAATGTTACAATTTTAATAAGTCTTTTTTCGTTTTATTCGCCAATACCCTCGATAATTAATGATCTGTCCCAGACTAATATATCTCCAGCATTAGTTCCTGTAACTGCCATTTCTTTGTTTGGAATGAAAACTGTCTTGGTGAAATGAGCCTCACTCTTTTCCTTTGTCGAGAAATCTTTCTTTTCAATTCTAGGTGAATAATATTGGAAAGTTGAAACTCCTTGCTCCCAACTCAAGAATAGTACTCTTTCTTTACCATTTGAAGCGATTTCAGTGGGATCAGAAGGATTGAACTTGACCCAATGCTAATTTTAGAACTCCTCTGTGTACTTGAATTGCAAGGAGACTATTGGGCCTTCTTCTTTTTCATTAGTCCAGTCCCAGAGTGAGATGGTTTGAGGCTCATCATTGCCTAAAGTAACGAGGTAATTGTTATCGAGCGAAATATCTATAGTCTTAACTCCGTTTGGATGAGGATTTAAATAAGTTCTAATGGGTGTGCCAGAGATAGAGTCCCATACTACAAGCATAGAGTCGTCTCCACCATCAGCAGTTACAATCCACCTTTTATCCTCGGAGCAAGTAGTGGCTGTGATTCTGTTACAATGACCTTGCAGCAATCTTTGAGTCTTTGTTGAGTAATCATATAAAACTCCAGTGTGAGCAGCAGAGTAGAATATTTCCTAAAATCATAAGCTATCTTAACTAACATACATGTCTATCGTTTGTGGTAAGATTATGCACTCCCTGATCAATATCCTTGTTGATGCCAATAACCCATTGCAAGTTCTGAAAAATGAGAAAAATTGAATTTTACCAAAGCGTTAAGTCCATCGTTTCTATCTTCATCGCCATCGAGTTCATCTCCATACATATCGTCCTCGTTCTAGTACATACCTGCATATTTGAATTTAGCGTTAATTGAATAATGATTGATCTTAAGATTATAACTTACCATCTGGGGATTGGTATTGCTCTTGACCGCCATCATAGTAACCAGCACTGGGCATGGCTTAGCCTCCATCTGAATTTTAGTATGATCTATCGTCCATTCTTTGATTTAAATTATTTATCTAAATTATATTCTCTTATTTTTAAATTTAATTCTTAATCCTCACAGGGTATACTTTACAAGTGGGGTTTTGGGGTTTTGGGGGGGCCAACCTG